ATCCCTGTTCCATCCCTGTTCCATCCCTGTTCCATCCCTGTTCCATCCCTGATCCATCCCGGAGCCAGCAGCCGCGCTCTGCTCTGAGCTCTCGGCACCACAGGCCCAAGGTGGCTGATGGCAGCAGCGGGATTTGCGCAGCAGGGATGGGATGAAGCGTCTCTGACACCACTGGGACCTTGCCAGGCCGCTCACCCTCGGGGCAAGGATCTGCAGCCCCGAAGGGGCCAGGGTGAGACAGTGTCCCTCCTGCCCAGCCCAGAGCCTGGCACACCCACCTGGGAGGGTTTCTCGGTGATGGGGCCCTGGAGTGTGGCGCTGCTGGGGTGGAGGAGGAGACAGCACTGGGGCCGTGGGCAGGGCTGGCTGTCGGGGCTACCGGGGCCATTGTGACCCCAGGGGTCTCTGTGACCACGGGGCGTCACCGGGGTGCTGGGTGTCACCAGGGCACGGAGCAGTGCAGGGGCTCAGCCTTGGGGAGCAGGATTTACAGCCCTGGAACCCCGGTTCCCTGTCCCTGGGAGCTGTTTGCTGTTCTGCAGACACTCCTGAGGGTTTCTCCTCCCATCCCTCCCTCCTCCAGGTCTGGCCAGAGCTGCCCTCACTGCACAAACCCTTCACAGACCTGCGAGTGCAGCAGGAACCGTCCACATCTGTGGGTGCAGTTCCTCACCCTAATGCAAAAGCAGATTGTTCCGGGGTGTTTACCCGAACTGGGATCAAAGGCAGCCTCACACTGCGATGTGTTACATCACAGCAGTGCTCACATGCCTCTTTCTATGCCATAAAATCTGCTGGAGATCTTCCAAGTGCTTTCCTGAGCTTTGTGCCCAGCCCAGCCCACCAGTCCCTTTCACTGTGTGGCCTCAATCACTCAGGAGTGAGTTGTCCTTCCTTAAAAATACAGCCCAGCCACCCAACTCGGCAGCTTTCCTGTGTCTCTGGAGTCTGCAGTTCTCAGAAGCCTCCGTGCCCAGCAGCACACCCAGGCTGCTCCTCGTGCTGCTCCTGAGCTTTGCCTGCCCTTCCGAGGGGAGCTCTGTGCCTGGCTGGGAGGTGCAAGGTAAAGAACAAACATCTTTCATCTGGAACAAACAAATGGGAATGTGCACAGGAGCCTTGGCGGAATTGCTTAGCAGCTTGTGTTGAGTGGGATAATAAATTCACCTCAGAATCCCTTCATGTTGCAAGGGTGATGTTTTCCTGGGCTCACCACCCAGGGCGAGGCAGGAGCATGGCTGGTGGGGTGGCAGGGCCGGGCTGTGGCAGCCCCAGCCCCGGGGCTCAGGAGCTGCCCAGAGCGGTGGCAGGGAGCTGAATCACCCCTTCTGCTCCCGCAGCCCCTTTGAAGTCTCCTTGCTGCAGTGAGATTTTGTGGGACACCTTTGTGCACGAGCCCAGGCTCTCTCATTCCACGGGATTTTATTGGCTTCACTTCTTAAAATAGTTCCTCTTCTCCTTCCCTTTTTCCATGTCTGCCTCTCTGTGTGTCCTGCTCCATTTGTTCACTCGGGGCTGTGGATATCAGTGAGCACTTTTGTCTTGCCCGGCTTGTAGACAGATACTGTGTCCTTTGTCTTCGGGTTCTCCATTCCACCTGCTTTCTGCTTTGAGAGGTGCCAAGGAATTTTCTTTAAATGCCACAGGTCAGACTTGGTGATTTCAGAGGTCTTTTCCAACCTCTTTGAACTGATCCTGTGTTGTAGACAGGTAGAATAATTATATAAAAAAAAAAGACCTTATGAAATCAGGCCTCTCTCTGCTAAAATTGCTAAAATTCTTCTAAATGCAGCTAACAAGCGATTTGTGAGTTCCCATGTGAAGCTATTTTGAGAATGAGAAGTTCATTTAACACAACAATCTACTCTGAGGGTGAAAAACAAAAGCACCTGTGTAAGCAATAGGATTTGTCCCATGAGAACCCACAAAGGAAAAATGTAAACATATCTAGAGAGAGAAAAATTGGTAGACATTTACAATAGCCAATTTTCAACGTATTGCTGATCAATTAGGTTAAAGGCAGTGCCTTCCTATAAATATGAGCTTTGTGAATAAAGAAGGAGGTGGAATGAGCCCAGCTGGCTGCAGGGCCGGGAGGTGAGACAGGATTTAGAATTTCTGAAGTGGTGGAATGCAGATTGCAGCCTGCAGAGCACGGCTGTGGTGGACAGCAGCCTGCAGCAGGACAGCCCCAAACACAACCCCAGCACCAAGGGAAATCCGAGCAGGGAATATTCCCAGACCCCCAGGCTGTGGAAATCCGAGCAGGGAATATTCCCAGACCCCCAGGCTGTGGAAATCCGAGCAGGGAATATTCCCAGACCCCCAGGCTGCAGCTCCAGTCACAGTGGGAGCATCTCCAGAGCAAAGCTGTGGGTGAGTGGCTCCAGAGCAGCAGAAAGGCAGGGAGGACCATCCCTTCTCCAGGGTGTGTGTGTCTGTGTGTGTGTGTGCAGCCTTTCCATCCCACAAACAGCACTTGAGATAACTGTCAGGACAGTCCCACTAATTGCAGCCTCGTGCAGGGCACGGAGCCGCCCCTGCAGCCGCAGCCTGGCTCCCGGAGCGGGGCTGGGAGAGGCATCCCAGCACTGCCCTGGAGCTGAAATCCCCCAGAAAACGCTTTGGATTAGCAGAGCTCCTCTACTGCAGCCACGGAATTGAATTTTAACGTTTTAATTCTCATTTTCCTTCCCAATTTCCCATTCATAATTTGCTTTATTGAAGTGCTGCCTCATAATCCGTGCTATGATTAGACTTCCCTTTTGGAATATCATAACAGTGCTCATTCTTCATTCTTCACAGGGGATTTAATGTGTTGCTTTAATTTGTTCTTTAAAGCAAAATAAGAAGATGTTCTTCACAAGAAAAGCGTGATTTCAAAGCGATTAAGTGATATTTATCACTGAAAAAAAGAAATCCATATTGTTTTGACTCTCAAAACTTGGTAGAGATAGAAAGAGGTGCAAGATCTTAAGCTGAAGTTGGAAACTGTGTTTCAGAGTAATTGTTTTGACAGCTACTTTGGGTTTAAAGTTCTCTAAGATTCCCTGCATTTTTTAGCAGCCAGTGTTACTCATTAACTCTCAATTTTTACTTGCATGGCACAAAAAATCGTTATCAGTGCTAGAAATTTGCTTTCGTACCTGAAACTAGAAATGGTTTGGGGTCAAGTCGCATCACCTTGAAGGTTTTGCATTGAAAGCAGCCAGACCCTCCGAGCCCCCCGGTGTCACCGGCCGTGCCAGGGAAGCCGAGCCTCGGCAGGAGGGGAAGGGACAGAGAAACAGGAGGGAGAGGAAGGGCAAAGCCTGGAGAGTTGGGGCTGGATGTTAGGGAGAGGTTCCTCACCCCAGGGCTGCCGGGCTCTGGGCAGGGCTCTGCAGAGCTCAAGGGGGAGGCGGCAGGCACTGGGTGGGGTTTGGGGGTGTCTGTGCAGGGCCAGCAGCCGCCCTGGGACGGCCCCGAGTGTCAGCTCAGCTCGCCCGGTGGCTCTGTCCCTCCGGCTGGCCCCGCTACGGGCTCGGGGACACCTGGCGAGGGCTCGGGGACACCTGGCGAGGGCTCGGGGACACCTGGCGAGGGCGGGCCGGGGGTGGGGCCGTCCCCGCCCCTCCGGAGCCTCTCGGTGCCGGCGGTGCGGGATGCCCGGTCCGCAGCGGCAGCGCCCGGCTCGGCCAGCATGAAGAAGCACCAGCCGCACTCGGTGCAGGGCACCTTCAGCCGCCTCTTCGGCAAGCGCCACTCCAGCCCCAGCGCCGCGTCCCTGTTCGCCACCAACCCGCCCTGGATCTTCACGCAGGAGGTGACCTCGGACAGCGCGGGTGGCACCGGTCAGTGGCACCGGGGGGAGCGGAGGGGGGCGGCGGCGGCTCCGCTGCTGCCCCGGGGGAGCTCCGGGAGCGCTCGGACACCCCGGGATGGGCGGCGCGGCTCCCGGAGCCGGCTCCGCACCTCGGCTGGGCCGGCTCTGGGCGAGTTAAACTTGGCTAAAAGAGGCTGACGAGTGGCTGTGAATCTGTTTTATCGCTTTCCCACGCCATGTTTGATCTGAGCCTTCCCAAGTTTGAGTTATTTACTCATAAACCTGTTTCTCGCAGGGCTGCGAGCGAGGAGGGAGCTGAGGGTTGCATATTCCTTGGGATTAATTTGTGTTTCTTTGTGATTTTAATTGCAATACGGTGCCCTGGAGGCTCATGTAGGAGGGAGCCAAATTAATAGTAATGGAGCCAGGTAGATAGACGATAGCACTTTGTGGATGAAGTTTGGTGGCTGTTCGAGCCCAACAAACTCTTCCAAGACGGAAAAAAATGGAAGTGCTGCCTGCTGAGCTGTGCAGGGTGAAGTATTGTCTGTGAAAGCAACAGCGAGGTGGTTACACCCCAAAGGCCAAGCTGCTGAAACCAAGATAAAATTAAAATGTGACAGGGAGTTTCATGCAACTCTGCAACCTAGAAGGAAAATTGCTGATTTCTAACTGTCGTAAATCTGAGGAGCATTCAAGCTTCTCTCTGATGTGGTTTGGATTAAAAAAAAAAAAAGAAGTTGCTGTGTCTGCTTATTACAAGCCAGATTTCCGTGGCTGCAGTTCTGCAGTGGCACTACAAAACTTTCTGCTCAGGTGTGGGTCACACTGCAAAGGACGGGAATCCTGAAAGCCGAGCCTAAGGAACAGCTGTTGGATGCTCCTCAGCATCCTCCTGGCATTTCTGCCCTGAGTTTGGTTTGTGGAGGGGGCAGTGGCAGGGGAAGTGTGACAGACACTGCAGCTGAGAGAGCAGGGTGAGGAGGGGACAGTGGCACAAGGGACAACAGGACAGTGGCACAAGGGTCAGCAGTCTAAGGGACAGCAGGACAGCAAGGACAGTAGCCTGAGGGACAGCAGGACAGCAGGACAGCAGTCTG